TCGGGAGTTTGTGACCAGCCTGGGAAACACAATGAAACCCTGTCTCTACTAAAATATGGAAAAAAAAAAAAAAAAAAAGCCTGGTGTGGTGGCATGTGCCTATAGTCCCACCTACTCAGGAGACTGAGGCAGGAGAATTGCTTGAACCCGGAAGGAGGTTGCAGTGAGCCAAGATCAAGCCACTGCATTCCAGCCTGGGTGATAGACTCATCAAAAAAAGAAGAAAGAGAGAGAGAGAGAAGAAAGAAAAAGAGAAAGAAAGAAAAAAAAAAAAAGGAAGAAAGAAAGAAAAAGCAACACCAGAGAGCTTGCTCACTGTAGCGCCCTCTGCCCTTTGAGGACACAGGGAGAAGGTGACAGTCTCCAAGCCAAGACGAGAGCCCTCACCGGACACTGAATTGGCTGACCCCCTTATCTTTGACTTCCAGCCTCCAGAGCTGTGAGAAAACAAATTTTTGTTATTTAAGTCACCCAGTCTGTGGTATCTTGTTTCAGCAGCCCAAACAGACTAAGTCATCTGCCTATTCTCTAGTACCTCAACATTTATATTTGGAGGGCTCAGCTGAACAGACACACCGTCTAGGACCACTCATACTCAGGCCAGATTTCTTCCTGTTATATATCTTTATTTTACACAAATGGACCCAGCACTGCTTTCCTTTTTTTTTTTTTTTGAGACAGAGTTTCGCTCTTGTTACCCAGGCTGGAGTGCAATGGCGTGATCTCAGCTCACCGCAACCTCCGCCTCCTGGGTTCAGGCAATTCTCCTGCCTCAGCCTCCTGAGTAGCTGGGATTACAGGCACGCGCCACCATGCCCAGCTGATTTTTTGTATTTTTAGTAGAGACGGGGTTTCACCATGTTGACCAGGATGGTCTCGATCTCTTGACCTCGTGATCCACCCGCCTCAGCCTCCCAAAGTGCTGGGATTGCAGGCTTGAGCCACCGCACCTGGCTTCCCAGCACTGCTTTCTCCCATGTGCCATTGCTCCTTTGTCATGATTTGGATATTATATCACCAATGAGACAGTCTGTGTGACAAGAATGCTTGGAAGATCCAGGTACACCACGGGGCCCTGAAAGTAGCAGAGAATCTTCTTTTGTGAACTGTCTCGGTCTCAGGGTCTCATCATAAAAGAGGTTAGCTTAAGAGACCTCCATTAAAATGATCATGTTATTTTGGGGTGGGAGGATAATATTTTTTAACACTATTCTACAAATTAGCAGGTTAGCTGGCTCCTCCTAAGGAGAATTAGATAAAGAGATTTTATTTAATGAGGGGAAAGAAGATTCACAAACCCTGGGTAGGAAAGTTTAGGGACCAGAGTTGGCCTCTACTCATAGACTGTAAAGCTGATATCAACAAACCAGACTGACTGACTTGACAGTTTTTTCTTATTTTCCAGAAGATAGAAAACAACAATGAAGTACTTGGTGCTGATACAGCACAAGCCTTGGCAAAGGTTAATAAACAATTGTAAAGCAGTTAACATAAAACCTTAAATGATTAACTGGTTATCTTGGAATTTAAGGAGCAATGCCCCAGGGATATGAGACCTGATTAGTTAAGTTACATATGTGTGCGCTGGGGCCGGGTGGGGAGGGTGGCAGAAAGAAGTGTTCACGGGAGGGTGCTTTATTAGAATTGGGCAGAAGAGGGTGAGGGTGGTGGGGAGTGAGCAGACAAAAGAGGCTGGAGAACTCTGTTGATTGACAACTGTGCCATGCATTGGGGTAGCCGCGGTGCTGGGCATTAATCACAAAGATTACTGCCCTTTCCAAACTGGTATATAACTAACTGCTTAGGAGAAGGGGCTAGAAAAAGCCCATTGGAAACAAAAGGGTCTTTGCTGGACATTACTACGAAGTGTTATCAGATTTGTGTTCGATGTATTGTCCAATCTTAACCTTCTGACTCATTAAAATGTTGAGCTTTTGGAAATGTTTAAGGTCATTGTCTGTTCTGCAGAATCACGAGATGGCTCTGTTGTCTAGTGGCTCAACCTGTATCACCTTGGTGATTTCCAGGAAGGGAGGCCCCGAAATCACGCAGCATAGTCTCAACAGCTTTTTCTTTAGAGCCCACTGAAAATGGCTGGGGTTTCCTCCGCCAAAAATAGCTATTCATATATGTCTGAATAATTTATGACTGTGGTTTATATTTAAATAAAGCACTTCAATGAATTTCTTTCTTTTCTAAGAGTCATGAATTCTGCCCTGTGGCTTTCTGAGAGCCAAGCAAGCTAAAGGTAATATAAGATGACACTGGCAATATGTACAAGGACAGAGATTACAGAAGCCTTTGGTAAAGAATCAAAAATCCCGACTTCTTTTTGGGCATGTGGTTGTGCACTGTTGAAGCAGAAATGAGATGCTTGGTAAAGTGAGAGCCAATTTCACCTACTTGAGCATGGAGCCAAGGCTGGGGCTAGGTTTACAAACACAACACAAAAGTAGTGGCAGGACCTACCTATGTTGTGGTGTGATGCTGTGCAGAGTTTTGCAGTGGCCAATTGCTGGTTGTCTCATGTAACCATATTGTTTAGGGTGGCATTATTTATATAACCTTGATTACAGCAAGTAAAGATTAAGAGAACTATAAAATGTTTAGGGATTCATCCAATCCAACCCCTTTGTTTTACAGATGGGGAAACTGAGGCCCAGAGAAGGATGTGATTTGATGTGCCTGTGGTGGGTTAAATAATGCCCCTCCCAAAAGAGATGTTCAATTTTTAATACCTGGCACCTTAAACACTATCTTATTTGGAAAAAGGGACTTAGCAGATATAATTAAGCTAAGGGGCTCATTATAAGATCATCCTGGATTAGGGCAAACTCTACATCCAATGGCAGGTGTCCTTGTAAGAGAAAGGCAGAGGGATGTTGAAGAGAAAAAGTGATGTAGTAATGTAGTAATGGAAATAGAGATGGAATTAGGTAACCATGAGGCAAGGAATGCTTGGAGCCCGCGGAAGCTGAAAGAGGCAAAAAGGAGAGAACCTTTGGAGGAAGTATGACTCTACCAGTACCTTGATATCAGATTTCTAGCTTCCAGAATGATGACAGAAAAAATTTCTTTTGTTTTAAGCTCTATGTTGATGGTAATTTGTTATAGCTGCCCTAGGAAACTAACATAATGGACAAAGGATAGAACCAGGCTAGAACCCAAATCTCTGGACTCCCTGTCTTGTGTTTCCCTGCCTCTGTTTCACATGCTCTGGGTTCTGATCTTATCAAAGATGTAAAAAGCATTCACATTCCTTGCTGTTAAGAAAATAACTTCTGAGATGAAGGCAATAAAAAATACTGCAAATACTGCTGTTTCCATGAGTTGATGCTTAGCCCCTCCAGCAACTAAGCTTTCTGGGCTTGGAAGTAATAGATTTGACTGTGGTATTAAGCTTTAGGGAATCATGCTGAGATCTGGAAGAGAGAAAACTGATAAAAGATAGTCAGAAAAGTTAGCCATTTGACTCCAACCAAATACACAGAAAGCAGGTAACAATACGTACCTCACAAGGTGTTTATGCAAATAAACAAGTATTTATTGAGCACACACTATGTGCCAGACATTCATGTAGGCTCCTTGATCTAAGTGTGAATAACGGGATCTCACAGTGGCAGAGGCTAATGGCAGCATATAAATGCCGGACAGTCTAGTCATGGTTATGGAAACGGGACACAAGGCCTGTGTGGTAATCAATGGTTTGAGCTGCAGGTATCCTTGTCATTGGCTAATTGCTCATGATCTCCCCAGATCATGAATTAAAACAATGAGGAGCCTACAAAAGTCTTTTTTTTTTTTTTTTTTTTTTTTTTTTTTTTTTTTTTTGAGACGGAGTTTCGCTCTTGTTACCCAGGCTGGAGTGCAATGGCGCGATCTCGGCTCACCGCAACCTCCGCCTCCCGGGTTCAGGCAATTCTCCTGCCTCAGCCTCCCGAGTAGCTGGGATTACAGGCACGCACCACCGTGCCCAGCTAATTTTTTGTATTTTTAGTAGAGACGGGGTTTCACCATGTTGACCAGGATGGTCTCGATCTCTCGACCTCGTGATCCACCCGCCTCGGCCTCCCAAAGTGCTGGGATTACAGGCTTGAGCCACCGCGCCCGGCCCCAAAAGTCTTAATTGAACATAAGTGTAGGTTTGGTGAGCAGAAGTCTTACTTGAGGCACCACAGTAGAGAGTATACTGTAACTTTCGTTTCTTTCTCCAGATCCCTTCTCCCTTGTTCTCCATCTTGCTCTGACCTGTGTGGACTGTGTCACGAGGCTGCCTTGCCCTCTGGCTTCTGCTTGGGTTTAGCCAATGGGAAGCACTGCCAGGAGATTGAATGTCTTTCAGCCTATTTCCCCAGCTACCCTAGGGCTTGCTCAATGGACTAGTAAATAACATGGCCATTGTAGCAGTGGTAGAAGTTATGCATGGGCTCTGCCATAGGGATTTCTCACTAAAGCTAATCTGGCTACTCCCACTGGTAATTGCTGAATCTACCAATTGCAAAGGTCAACGATGAGTTCCTGGCATGGCACCATTTCTCAGCAGCACCAGACAGTCACCTGATGGCAGGATGATTACAAAAGGAAGGAGGCAGCAATTCCTCAGTGGACTTAACACTTCCTGGATATGATTCGTCTTAATACTTTAACGTCCCATATCAAAAAGCAAAGGAAGACTATAACAGCACAGTTCAGTCAGAACCATTAATAGTTCACAAACTTAAGAGTGAAGGTGTAAGTCATGCTAAAAGGTAAAGAACCATGAATAGCTGAAGGGCTGACTGAGGGAATAGGGAATGTGAAATGGATAGGGGAAGAAGGAAATTTTCAACACCAACTACTACCTCATCACCAATTAAGATATGAGATTTTAGTAGCTAGACATATTTTTCCTTTGGTTTGTTTTATATATGTAAAACTAATATGTAGACTTTCTTCTCTGTCCTCTACTCTTTCATTTAGGGTGACTTGATGGTAGCTAACCTTATAATTTGGATTTTTAGGTTACAGGATACCAAAGGAAGATTGTGACTGAAAAAGAAAAAGAAGGACCATCATAAAGAGAAGATAAATGACTGGTAGGACTTTGGGTCTCCCCTTCCGAGGAAGATAGTGAGGGCATCTTCATCTGCATGAGAAATAGTCATAGAAATGAGGTGGAAGCATTATATTGTCATTATCATTGTTTGAAAATAAATGTGGGTAAAAGGGTATATATGAATGCTGAGCACCTGAAACAATGAGCTGCACCAGACTATCCACTAGCAATGCAGATCTCTCTTCTGTGATCCCCCAAGAGTTAGGAAGTCTGGAGCATTTCTTAGAATCATTTGCTAACCAGGCCGGGCGCTGTGGCTCAAGCCTGTAATCCCAGCACTTTGGGAGGCCGAGGCGGGTGGATCACGAGGTCGAGAGATCGAGACCATCCTGGTCAACATGGTGAAACCCCGTCTCTACTAAAGATACAAAACATTAGCTGGGCATGGTGGCACGTGCCTGTAATCCCAGCTACTCAGGAGGCTGAGGCAGGAGAATTGCCTGAACCCAGGAGGCGGAGGTTGCGGTGAGCCGAAATCGCGCCATTGCACTCCAGCCTGGGTAACAAGAGCAAAACTCCGTCTCAAAAAAAAAAAACAAAAAAAAACCACTATTTATAATAGCATAAAAACATTGAACACTTAGCGATAAATTTGGAAAAAGATGTCAAATTAAAGAAGATCCAAGTAAATACAAAGATGTGCCGTTTGCATGGATTGCCACACTTAATATTGTAACATGTCAATTCCTCCACACATTGATTTAGTCATGCAGTACTATTCCAATCAAAATCTCAGTAAATTTTCTTGTAAAAATTGGCAAGCTGATTCTAAATGTATGTGGAGATTTTTTAAAGGCCAAATAATTTTTTAAATGAATAAATTTGGAAAAATAATACCTAATTTCATTACCAATTATAAATCTATAGAAACTAAGACAATGTTGTTTTGACGTAAAAATAAGGATTTAGGGCCAGGCGCGGTGGCTCAAGCCTGTAATCCCAGCACTTTGGGAGGCCGAGGCGGGTGGATCACAAGGTCAAGAGATCAAGATCATCCTGGTCAACATGGTGAAACCCTGTCTCTACTAAAAATACAAAAAATTAGCTGGGCATGGTGGCGCATGCCTGTAATCCCAGCTACTCAGGAGGTTGAGGCAGGAGAATTGCCTGAACCCAGGAGATGGAGGTTGCGGTGAGCCGAGATCGCACTGTTGCACTCCAGCCTGGGTAACAAGAGTGAAACTCCGTCTCAAAAAAAAAAAAAAAAAAGGATTTAGATCAATGGAACAAAAAAAAGTCCAGAAATAGACTAGCACATACATAGTCAATTAGTTGTTTCTTTTTCTTTTCTTTTTTTTTTTTTTGAGATGGGGTCTCACTCTGTCACCCAGGTCAGAGTGCAGTGGTGTGATCTCCAATCACTGCAACCTCCACCTCCCTGGCTCAAGTGATCCTCCCCCATCAGCCTCCCAAGTAGCTGGGATGCAGGTACCCACCACCATGCCCAACTAATTTTTTGAATTTTTGGTACAGACAGGGTTTCATCATGTTGCCCAGCTAATCTCAAACTCCTGAGCTTGAAGATCCTTTTACCTCAGCCTCCCGAAGTGCTGAGATTACAGGCATGAGCCACCACACCCAGCCATAAATTGATATTTGACAAAGGTACAAAGACAATAAATGGGGAATGAATAATCTTTTCAATAAAGGGTTTGAACAATTGAATAGCAGTCAATTGTTTTTTTAAATTAAGAGAAAAAGCCTCTTAAAGCATATACAAAAATTAACTCAAAATGGATTATAGGCTTAAATGAAAGCTATCAAACTCAGATGTTTGTTCCCAAGGAGCCTCAGCTCTCTCCACAGGGCTGCTTGAGTGTCCTCACATCATAGCAGCTGGCTTTTAGTGACCCAATAGAGACAGTGAAAAGAAAGGTGCAATGCCTTGTATGACCTCACTTTGAAAGTGACACACTGTCACATCTGCCATATTCTATTTGTTAGAAAAGCCACTAAATCCAAATTTCTCTCTTATGGGGAGAAATTAAGCTCTACATCTTGACGAAGATACTTGGAAGAGTATAAAGAAATTTGTGGATATATTTTTAAATCACCCTCTGGCCACAAATTATTTGCAATTCTCTTTGAAGACAAAATATATTCCCCACTTTCCTAACGGCCCCAAAAGTCTCTTCTTATTTCAGTATCAGTTCAAAATCCAAAGTCACAGCATATAAATCAGATACAGGTGCAGACAATGCTTTTCAGTTGTATTTTTTTTAAAGACAGCGTCTCTCAATCTGAACACCTGTGAACTGGAGCTAAATTATCTTCCCCAATATATACACACACTCACACACACCACACAATGGTGGGATGGGCATAAGATAAATGCTATAAACATTCCTGTGCAAAAGGGGGAAAAATAGGACTGGTCCATAGTGGTTCTGAGACCCAGCTAAGCAAAGTTTGGAGATTCTTCTACTAGAATTCATTCCTACGCATCTCTATCACTCTTGGCCCCTACCTTGGAGCTCTTGGTTCTGCAAAGTCATCCTTTTTCCGTGAGAGATAACTCATGTTTTTCAGCTATAGAGTTTTCTCAGTATGAACTTTGGGAATTCAAAGGCCTCTACATTCATGTACTGTCTTTGACCCTTTCATTCCAAGCTGTTTCTGTCAATATGATTCTAAAATGCTGTCGGCCTTCTGTGAATCTTACTGTGGTTTATTCCATAAATCAGATCAAAAGAGCAAGATCTAATATCAAGGATATAATGTTTTCTAGAGTCAGGGTAGTCAAAACAGCATGAAAAGAGGCGTACTCATGTTATACTGATATCACTGTTAGTATTGAGAATCTGACGTGATGGTACAATTTGCAAATTTCAAAGGTAATTTTAGGTTAAAAGGGAGAGATACATATAAAAATTGCAACAATCTGACTTGAATTTTTTTTATTTCCAAACTTTCTTCTAAATTCAGTCAGGCCGGGTGTGATGTCTCATGCCTGTAATCCCAGCACTTTGGGAGGCTGAGGTAGGCAGATCACTTGAGGTCAGAAATTCAAGACCAGCCTGGCCAACATGGTGAAACTCTGTCTCTACTAAAAATACAAAAATTAGCCAGGGAAGGAAGTACACACCTGTAATCCCAGCTACTTGAGAAGCTGAGGCAGGAGAATTGCTTGAACCCAGGGGGCAGAGGTTGCAGTGAGCTGAGATTGTGCCATTGTACTCCAGCCTGGGCAACAGAGTGAAACTCCATCTCCGAAAAAAATAAATAAATAAATTGAATAAAATAAAAATAAATAAATTTCAAAACATCAAACTATTTCTGTGTCATGACTATTCTGGTTCATTGGCCTCATCCTGAGTCTAGATAAATTATTTTTAAACATATAATCAAAGCTGTGAAGAACTTCTTTTTCCTTTAATTCTCTTTGGACAAATGCTCTAAGAAAACTCTTATAATTCACAAGTTCATATGTTCACAAATTCTCTGATACTCCTCCCTTCAAGAAGAAAGAGAACCATTGGTCCACATTGGAGACTTTCTCTTCCCAGCTGCACACTGATACCACAAATACATTTCTCCTTTCTACTATCTAGCCTTCCTGGTGATCTTCTAGATGATACTCTCAAGCTTCATAACTTTTTTTTTTGTAATCCAATGTGTTCATCTCCTCTACCTCCACGCTAAAGAGGAAACATCTATGGGTGTGATTTGAGGGAAGAGTCCCTCCTTCATCCCCAAAATGAGTATTAGTCCCCAGCTCCAACATAAACTACTAGTCCAGGGAGCAGAAATCCCTTTTGTCTCTGCTTTGAATGAAGACTTTTATCAGGATATAATTATCCATTTACACCTAACCTTTCTAAAACAGGGATACCTATGTCTCTCTTCTGCTTAAAAATGGGAACTTAAATGCCCCTCTCCCCTCAATGCCTGATACAAAGCCTATGGAAAGCCTTAAGGAAATTTGTGAATTTGTGATATTTTATTATAGGTGCATTATTTTGGAGAACAAGGCTGTGGCTATCAATGGATCCCCAAAGTAATGTTACCACAAAATGGGAAGAAACACCAGTCTCCAGGAAAAAGGCCTGACTCAGTAAGGGTAAGAGATTCATCACAATTTGGCTCCACTGTCTCCTCCATATCTCTGTTGTTTGTTTTAAGGGATTACAGGCATGTGCCACTGCGCTCAGCTAATTTCTATATTTTTTGTAGATATGGGGTTTTGCCATGTTAGCCAGGCTGGTCTCGAACTCTTGGAGTCAAGTGATCTGCCCTCCCTGGCCTCCCTCTCCTCTATATCTAATATTGTAGCTACAACTTGTCTTCTTTTCTTATGCTATCTGTACATTCATACTTCCTTGCTTTTGCTTCTGCCTTTCTCTGCCTAGAATACGCTTCCCTTTTTCTTTTTTTTTGAGAGACAGAGTCTCGTTCTCTTTCACAGAGAGAGAGCAAGAGTGATCTCAGCTCACTGCAACCTCTGCCTCCCAGCCTCAAGTGATTCTCCTGCGTCAGCCTCCTAAGTAGCTGTAGAACATCTTTCCCTTTTATGATTTCCAGGAAAGGTACTATGTATGCTTTGGAACCCAGATCAAATGTTGTATCCTGGTAGAATCAATGATCTAAGCTCCAATACACTTTGTATATATGTCCAGCATAGTTGTAATTAGTTCTTCACTCATCTGGTTAATGTTGAACTAAAATGATCTCAGAGTAAGAATGGGTCTTATTTAATTCGTATCTCCAAGGCCTAGCACAGATCATAGTAGGCACTACTGGTTGTTGGGCTGGTGGATAGGTGTCACTATGGACCATCGCCCAGTAGAACAGAAACACATCTCCCTCTGAGCATGCCTCCTTAGACCCCCTACTCACCCAGGACCATTTCTGCTCAGACTGATGCCTTGCTCGTTGGGCTCTGTAGTGAGTTTTGTATTTGCAGATTTCACTGACCAGTAACTCAAAATGAATTTTGGAGACCAACATTGCCAATTTAAAATGTTTCCAGCCGGGCGCGGTGGCTCAAGCCTGTAATCCCAGCACTTTGGGAGGCCGAGGCGGGTGGATCACAAGGTCGAGAGATCGAGACCAACCTGGTCAACATGGTGAAACCCCGTCTCTACTAAAAATACAAAAAATTAGCTGGGCATGGTGGCGCGTGCCTGTAATCCCAGCTACTCAGGAGGCTGAGGCAGGAGAATTGCCTGAACCCAGGAGGCGGAGGTTGCGGTGAGCCGAGATCGCGCCATTGCACTCCAGCCTGGGTAACAGGAGCGAAACTCCGTCTCAAAAAAAAAAAATAAAAAATAAATAAATAAATAAAATGTTTCCAAGAAAATATTTTTTTAAAACCTATCACGGGCTGAGTACAATGGCTCATGCCTGTAATCCCAACACTTTGGGAAGCTGAGCCAGGCAGATTGCCTGAGGTCAGGAGTTTGAGACCAGCTTGGCCAACATAGCAAAACCCCATCCCTACTTAAAATACAAAAATGAGTTGGGCGTGGTGGCACATGCATGTAATCCCAGCTACTCAGGAAACTAGGGCAGGAGAATTGCTTGAACCCTGGAGGCAGAGGTTGCAGTGGGCCGACAGCAAGACTCCATCTAAAACAAACAAAAATACAAAAAAAAAAAAAAAGCAAAACACACACACACACACACACACACGCGCGCGCACACACACAGAACCTCTTACCTACTTTCTCCATAGTTTCATAAAAGGCACTTTAATACCTCAAAAATAAGAAGGGCATTGTCTCAGCCGAGAGGACAGTCCTTTGGATTAAATGCATTTAGCATTTTAAAAAGTTTACCATATTGACCTTAGTTTTTCATTCAATGGTGAAAAGTTTGTTCTAGTTTTTCAGTTCTAAGATGTTTGGAAAGTACCGATTTAGACCTTTGCTTCTGAGAGGCAGCTCCTGCATTCTTCCTGACTCAGGTTCAGGTCTCATGACAGGAATAAAGTCCTGCACGATCTCTCTTTACAGTTTCGTTTTGTGGATATGGAGAGAAGCACCTAGAAACGAGAACAACTACTGTAATGCATATTGAACAGTCTGTGTCAGTCACTTGACTTTGGATGAGGGGCAAATCTCAGTTGACAAACTCAGCTCAAAAATAAGTATCGTATACAGCTTTGCAGTTCCCCGTGACATAAGAACTAAAAGACGCTAGTTTATGGAGAGAGTGAGTGAATGAATGAGTGAGGGGATGGATGGATGGATAGATAAGTTCATGGATGAAATTTGAGTCCTGAATATCTAGAGAATCGCTGTGGAACAGGCTCAGTTAAGTCAGAAGTGGTATGTTCCAAATTAAATGAGTCTTTTCCAGCCTCAGCTTTTCATAACCACTTCCTGGGGATGCAGCGCCTTCTGGTGGAAATCCAGATGTGCTGCCTCCTCCCTAGACGGTCCTAACCAACGGGCCCTTTGATGACTCCATCCCAGATGGCCATCTCCTCACTGTGAACACCTCAATGACATTGATGAGGCTCAGTAAATTCCAGCAAGTCCCTTCTAGTAGTAACCCAAGTACCCACAAGATGAACAATGAAGGGTTCCATTAGAACTTTAGGTTAGAGCAGCACTTCTCAAACTTTTCTGGGCAGATGAATTACCTGGAGAGGATCTTGTTAAAATGAAGATTTTCACTGGGCTATTCTGAGTTGTGGATCAAGATTCTGAATTTTCAATTCCGGTCCAGTGGCAGCCAACTGCTACTGCATCTGCTCAACATTGCACCCCTGTGGGGGCTGGCAGCTGCCAGATACATGAAGTATAACTGGGAAGTATAACTGGGAAGCCCCGGGGGTCTGGGGGCGGGGGTGATGGTTTAAGCAGACAGTCTGAAACTTATAAATTACTGTTGTCCCCTTCAGGGTTTGCTCTTTGAAGTCTACACACTTATACAAAAAAAAATTGTTTTTCTTTTGCTGGAATGTTACTTATAAAACATTTTTGGCATTGTCATTAAAATTTTTGTACCTTAAAATACTCAGTGGTGACATTTTTCTTTTTGAAGGTGGCTTTAAAAGCAGTCAAGAGTTATTTCAAAATAGAATGTGATTATAAATATTGAGGCAGATGTATTCATATGGCTTATAAATTAGCCCTGAAGATAATCTCCAAATAAGAATTCCAAAGATATTTTGGGCAGCTGTTTGGAAAAAGTGGAATGCCTACGTTGAAACACAACACTCATTTGGATGTTTATGTTCCAGAGTGTTCATTTTTAAGTTGATTTCATTATCAACTACTTACTATATTATTTAAGTAAAACTTCAGTAGGGCTCTTAGTAAGTGCCAGGCACTGTTGCTTTACAAATATTAATTCATTTCATCTTCATAACAATCCTGCTTTCTCCCTGCTCCATTTCACAAATGAGAAAACTGAGGCATGGAGACACGTTGTTCCCCCAGAGTCACCCAGTTAGTAAGTGGATGAGTTGGGATTTCAACCCTAGGCAGCCTTCTTCTGGGTGCCAGAGGCTTCATTACTAAGCTATGCTAGCTCCCCCAGTTTTGTTTTTTTTTTTTTTTTAAACAGAGATAATATCTCACTATACTGCCTAGGCTGGTCTTAAACTCCTGGGCTCAAGCAGTCCTCCACATTAGCCTTCTAAAGAGCTAGGATTATAGGCATGAGCCACCATCCCCTGCTTATGCTACCCCTTAATTAGAGTTAGGACTAGTCTAGCACTGTCAACTACTGTACTTCAGGGTCTATCAGATGGAAGGGAAAGAAAAGTCAAAGTGACTTAGAGGTTGCAAACCTGCAGAAATCAACAAATCCTACCAAGACGGGAACAACTGGAGCTGGAATGTGTGAACAGGAAGCTTTTATACTGCCTACCTCTTTCGTAGCAATGAGACCTAGAGAAGAGTTCCAACCTCAAGCTGGAAGTGATGACAGGAAAGATTGCAATCCCACAATCAGACATCATAAAACAATTTTAAAAGCAAGAGACCAATGGGAAGAGGGTGCTGACTGATTGCTCAGAGAGGGTGTCCCAGTACAGCAGGATCTTGACGAGGTCATTCCAGGCCAGGGTCTCCAGCTCTTGGCTTTGCCAGCCCAGACACTCCATTTTGTCAGTGCACCTAGAGATAAGCAGGCAGAAGGGAAATGAATTATGCTAACCAGGCTCTTAAGAGTCTAAACCGAAACACCCACAGTTAGGAGAACAGTGCCAATAAGCTTGTTCCAAGCAATGCTTTTTCCTGCAGGGAAGTCTAATGGGCAAATCATTATCAAAGTCTGTTTTGTAAGGAGAATTGACTGAGTGACTTCAGAAGAAGATGTTATGAAATGTTGAGAGCTGGATGCGCCCATCTCCTGGGCTACCGTGTAGCTACCAAAAAGGCTATCAGTCAGAAGTGCAAGAGAGCACCGTCCCCTCTTGTCACTCTTCCTACAACTAGGTCACAATACAACACTTTCGGTTCAGCTTTCTTTAGCATTCCTGGCCTCAGACATGGATGACTAGTGGGTTATCTCAGATCAGGCATCTCCAGACTTTTTATACAGGGGGCCAGTTCACTGTCCCTCAGACCATTGGAGGGCCGCCACATACTGTGCTCCTCTCACTGACCACCAATGAAAAAGGTGCCCCTTCCTGAAGTGCGGCGGGGGGCCAGATAAATGGCCTTAGGGGGCCGCATGCGGCCTGTGGGCCGTAGTTTGGGGACGCCTGTCTCAGATGGTGAATGTCTATGATTTTTGTTTTGTTTGTTGACTTTTGTTTTTTTTTTTTTTGAGACGGAGTTTCGCTCTTGTTACCCAGGCTGGAGTGCAATGGCACAATCTCGGCTCACCGCAGCCTTAGCCTCCTGGGTTCAGGCAATTCTCCTGCCTCAGCCTCCTGAGTAGCTGGGATTACAGGCACGCGCCACCATGCCCAGCTAATTTTTTTTTGTATTTTTAGTAGAGACGGGGTTTCACCATGTTGACCAGGATGGTCTCGATCTCTCGACCTCGTGATCCACCCGCCTCGGCCTCCCAAAGTGCTGGGATTACAGGCGTGAGCCACCGCGCCCAGCCTTTTTTTTTTTTTTTTTTTTTTTTTTTTTACCAGAGTCTTGTTCTTTGCCAAGGTTGGAGTGCAGTGGCATGATCATGGCTCACTGCAATCTCCATCTCCCAGGTTCAAGTCATCCTCCCACCTCAACCTCCTGAGTAGCTTGGACTACAGGTATACACCAACACACCCAGCTAATTTTTGTATTTTTTGTAGAGTATCACCATGTTGCCCAGGCTGTTCTCAAACTCCTGAGCTCAAGCAATCCTCCCACCTTGGCCTCCCAAAGTGTTGGGATTACAGGCATAAACCACAGTGTCTGGCCTCTTGGTTGGCAGTTTTTCCTTGTGATATTCTTAGAGAGTGGCTACTCCAGACTTTCTCTGCAGGGTGTGGGAGCAGCTCATTGCCTACCAAAGCAGCTACAGCAGGGCAGTGGGGGCAGGGCTTCAGGGGAAAAGCCAGAACCTTTTCTGGCATCCCACCCTGACACCTTATTCCAGCCCACAGAATAAAAACCATCAAAGCAGTTATTCGGTCAGGGGTGGGAGAAATATAAGTCACCATATTCCTGTTGGCCAGTTATTTTATTGTTGTTGGTGATGCTGATTTTCTAGACATATAACTCTTGAATCAGTCATTCAAAGCTTGGCAAGTTTGCAGGCTCATCTTTCCTCATTCTGTTTTGTGCAGAACACTCTCATGGTCTGAGCTGTCCTGTTGTGTGGCTTTAAACTCACCAAATGTAGGGAACTGGGAGACTGGAGACTGGGGAGATTACAGCCCTCCAGCAGTGCCTTGGCATTTCTCATTTATTTATTTATTCGAGACAGGGTCTTGCTCTGTCGCCCAGCTCTGTCGCCCAGGCTGGAATGCAGTGGTGTGATCTCAGCTCACTGCAACCTCTACCTCCCAGGTTCAACCAATCCTCCCACCTCAGCCTCCCAGGTAGCTGGGACTACAGGCATGTGCCACCACGCCCTAATTTTTGTATTTTGGATAGAGACAGGTTCCTCCATGTTGCCCAGGCTAGTCTTGAACTCCTGAGCTCAAGGGATCCACCCGTCTCGGCCTCCCAAAGTGCTGAGATTACAGGCATGAGGCCAGTGTCTTGCTTTTAAGGCTGTTCAGTCATCTTTACTGATTGACTGTGAGTAGAGGGGGCACAACCCCATTGCATGTCTGTCTCTCCCAGGAATGTTCTTGGACTTGCCTTGCCACCCTCAGGACACCTGAGAGGAGCTGAAGAGGCTCATTCCTCAGTCCCTTCTCATTCCTTCCTTGACAGTGACATAGCCACCACCAGCTGCCTGAAAACCAAATCCAAAACTCACTTCCATGCCTATTGCCAAATGACAGACCTGAATTTGTTGAGTTTGGGTTTTTTAGGTGCACATAAAACAAGCCAATGAACTGTGCTTAAAGTTGAGATAGATTAGGGAAAAACCCTCCAGGAGAAAACCCCCTCTCACCTAGGAAGACTGTGGAGATGAGGGTCACAAACCTCTCATTAGCACCCCGCATAGTGGCTACAGGAACCAGCACCTCTAGGGCTGTCATATTTTTCACTTGTCATGAGATCTGCGGCAAGAATGGTTTGGCATATGATCTAATCTGCATTCTTCTAACCCTTAATCAATGTTTGCACATTGTTCCTGTCACCCCTATGTCCCCAAAGTATTGATGTTTTCGCTAGTATGAGACTTTTTAGAGGACCCAATATATAATTTGATCATTTACAAGGGTAAAATAAAGAGCACTACACAGAAACTACACAAAAATAATCATATATTGGGGAAGGTGGAAGATGGCTGATTCACTAGCAGATGAAAAATTAGAAACAGAAAGGAAAGGCACAGAGTGGCCACAGAACTTTTCGTGCATACCTACTTGTCCATTATAATTTCAGCCTTGGCCTTGTAACAAGTAGCAGTTTTTAGAGTTAACCTCTCTAACTAGAATGTGGCTTCTTCAGTCTAAAAAGTCGCCCTTGCCGTGCCATTGTTTCCACAATGCCGTGACTCGGATTCGAACCGAGGTTGCTGCGGCCACAACGCAGAGTACTAACCACTATACGATCACGGCGAGCTACCGGGACGCCACAACGGGTAGGTGACCCAGTGCTGCCCTTCTTGTCTAGATGGCGGCCGTTCCAGTTTTCTTAAGCTTCCATTATCTGCCAGGTTCTCCCGTAACCCATGTTCACTCGCAAGAGCAGCCGGGATCACTATGGACTCCCCAGCCAGATGTCTCCGCTTAGCTGTACGCACGGATCGCAAAAGAGGGAGACATGAAAGTGCTTTGCAACCAAAGGATTCCTATGAGGCCGGTCCTGCAATGGTGTGAAGCCCCTGGGGACGCCCGAATGGTGGCCCGAAGTCTCTGTGATGCACACCATGCCCTGGCTATCATCCTATCTGAACGACTTTGGCTGAGACTGGAGCTGTCTCCTAAAGTTTGTATTTTTTCTTAAATTTTACAAGAAGGAAAATCAGTTCTGACCCACCGCCAGACAACTTTCTTGAGGCCCGGGTGAAGGGGAACCCCGAGCGCAGCCTCCACGGTGGAGAAATCGGACCGTCTGGTCCGCAGGCAAGGATGCACTAAAATCGAGAAAGCAGAGACTAGCGCGCTTGCGTGCCCTCAGATGGCTGCGAGGGGGAGAAAGGCGGGAACAAAAATCTGTGACGTTGCAAGGGGGCGGGGCTTTCAACAGAGAAGTGTTTAGGCGACGAGCGGAGGCCTCGTGTCCCTAGTAGCTCGCCGTGATCGTATAGTGGTTAGTACTCTGCGTTGTGGCCGCAGCAACCTCGGTTCGAATCCGAGTCACGGCATTGTAAGGACAATGACACGGCAAGGGGACTGCTGTTTTATTGT